GGATATTTTGGGAACTGCCTGCTATTTATAGAAATAATTTTCGAGTCATAACATAAATGTAAAGTCAATAAAAAATTTTTCCAAGAAGCATATTGTTGTGAAAATTAAATTGTCCAATAATTAAATAATAAAAAAATTGAATTTATCAATTTAAAAAAATATAAACTCAATCAGATTTAAATGAAATGTCAGTTTAAATGATTGATATAAAATAAAACTGACACTAACTAAATAGAGAAGTGCCTTTTGATTAGAACTAATAAATCAGCCGCCGATCTTTGACTTGGACTGTTAACAATAACTCAATCAGTGACTCGTAAATTGATTTCAATGAACTGTAGAAAACTTAATTGTGTTTGCATGTCGTTAAATGAAATTCAATTGATATATATTTGTGCATTGTATATGATATATAATAATATATAATCGTAATAAATCTGATCTGATCAACTGTAAATAAATAAAAAAAAAAATTAAACAATTAAATTACTCGTAAAAAAAGGTTAAAAGACTAGTTGGTTTAAAAATTGAATTCGTCACGTTTACATCATAAACGATGATTTAATAATTTGGAGCTTATGAAAAGGAAGAAAACAAAATATAAAAATTGGCAAGCAAAAAAATGAAAGAAGGAAGTTAAGTAAAGGAAGAAACAGTATTTCGCGTGTTAAATTTACGCGTCAATGATCTAAAAGGATAACTCTACTCGGAAGGGTCGTATACATATTCTCATCTCGGTTACTAAACGGATAGGAAGAAAAAAGAGAGAATCAGAGCCGTCAATGGGCATCTCTTTTATTTCTTATTGCCGTTTATTCTTTCTTTAGTCTTGTCTGAACCGAAACGAGCAAGAAAAAGGAGTTGAGTCGTTCTATATACTGTATACTATAGATATACACTAATGTAAGCTCAAGAAGAAGAATACCGGGGATAAGAAAAAGGATCGGAGGTGGAAGCAAACGATCAGGAATAAAAAGATAGTAAATAAATAAATAAACAAAAATAAAAAGGAGATTAAAGGCTATTCCGGGAGCATGAGAACATCGGCAGGAAAAAGACCATGAGGATTAAAGAAGAGTGGAAGAAAGGAAGAAGCTATGGATCCATGTAGGACTAACCGGCTCTCTTCCATTCCATTCTTTTATGTTTTCACATATAAAAGATATACACATATATATATTGGACCGAACCATTCTCAATATATACAAGTAAAACAAGACGAATATCTTTCTCGTGCTTATTTTCAGGTACATTTGTGTTCTTTTGGTTTGTTTATGTTTTTTTTTTTTTTTTTTTTATTTCTTTTCATTGCTTACTCTCACTCGCTCTTTCTTTCTTTCTTCAATTGCACACGAGGTTTGAGTGTTACATTCATTTTCGCGCGGCCACCGGAGCGTGCGAACGCGCGATCCCGTCGGCTCTCGCCGCTTCTCTTCCGTCCTCGATCGATGATCCATACCGGTTTCGATCGAGTCCTCTTTTTCTCTTAATCTTAATATTATACTTATTTATAAATTTATTCCTACTTTTTCACCTAATTTAGGATAATAGAGCTAAAAATTCGCTACCAAACTCATTAGTGCTTGGTTTAGCCGCTAGATGGTGAGTTCTACGTGTTTCTCGCATGTAGAGTTTAATTTATTGAAATTACAAGTGTTTTTAGAACTGATGCAGTAGTGGGAGGTCACAAGGCACTTAGGATTGGAAAAACTTAATAACTTGAGTTCTCGGAAGAGTCAAATTTAAATAGACTAAAATTTTTGTTAAATATTTATGTAATTGTTCGGTCAGGCTTAAAAAAATTCTTAGGAGAGAAAATTAACAAGAAGTTGATAAAATTGCGTTAATAGATGAAAGATAGAATTTCTATTGTTGAAACGTGACTATAAATACAGAATGTCGTTGAATAAAATTAGAATGGTAATAAAAATTGGTTTGAAATTATAATTAAAGCCGTAAAAAAATAAGATTTAATGAAAAAAAAAAATCTAAAATCCAGTATCTGTAATCAAAAAGTTTAAAACTAAAATCCCGTGATTCAGTGTGTCCTGTTGAAGCGGAGTATTTTATCATCGAATCGAATCAGTTTGTGAGATCGTAGACCTCAGCGTTACGCGTTGAATTATTAATAAGAATCCGAAGTTCCCTCGGGTTCTGCATGATCGAGAAAGCCGATCCAGAAGGTAAATGTCTATACTCTTATATATATATTATATATCTATACGACTACTGTGTGCATATAGCGACTAGTAATGGCTTATGATATAATAAAAGTAATAACAATACAAAAAAAAAAAAAAAATTGATCTTACAGAGAAAAAAAGAGAGAGAAAAAGCGACTGAAGCAAAAGGCAGTTCAATATAATAAGATGCAAAACGAGCAATATAAATTTAATACCGGGCCAAACAAAGTTTCTCTTGGGAAGAAAATCAAAGAGAACGATTAGCTTAGATTGAAAAATAAAAATATAAATAAATAGTGGGCGTGTTGAGGTATTTTGGACAGCCTGGTATTATAATAAATTATATTAGAGTGTATCATCGTTATAATCGGTAGACAAAAGCATCATTTATATAATATGAGTGAGTTGAGAGCTTTACTCTTGTTTTTAGTTTAAAAATAAAATTAAACTCTTTAAGATTTTATTTATCCTGGGCCAAAGCTGGTATCATCTTTATTCTGGTTTCTGGTGCTGGAATACCGGCCCCAAAGGGCACAACCAACCCTTTCATCCACTTTATATCTTGGATCTTATTTTACACTCGAAGCCCGTTATTTTTTTTATTTTTTACGGGATTTTGTTTACTGACAGGTTCGTTAACGCCGAACAATTTATTGTTTAATAATTTTGTTGCTTAAATAATTGAATATATTTTTATTTGATTTAATGTAATCGTGAGATATACATGTGTATGTATGTATGTATGTATATTTTTACTTTAAATGATAATTAAGTCAGCAGAAGAATTTTTTATCTACACATCAGTGTTTAGATATCGATCGCTGTGTCAAGAGTTGTCGATTTACAACTAAAGATAAGTTAAAAAGACTTTAAGACTTATCTCTAGTGTTTAATTCTTACTTAATTCACTTTAAAGAATCTAAATTTAACTCTCTTATCACTCATTTTTACCACTAAATGTTTCCATACGGTTTTTTTTTAAACATTCTTCCCAGTCTACGTTGGTGTATTTATTTCGTCATTTTTATCTACTTGAATTTTTACTGTTTATGAGCACCATTTTATAATGGATTTTTAGATTTTTAATTGTTAAAGACTGATTTTTAGTTATTAATACTTATAAAAATACTTTAGAGAAGAAAAACCTAGTTTTGTTCCTTTATCATAATTTTATTCAAAACTTTTTTGGTTTGTTCTAAGCAAATAAATTATTTTCTAAAATTTTCCTTTGTAGTTTTCTTAAATTTTTATTTGGAAATATAAAAAAGTTTTTAGTAATTTATGTTTATAAAGAGAATAAAAAATTGATGGTCAGTAATTTTAATACTTATTAGTGAAAAATGTTAAAAAAAATTTATTGTGTGATCTACAAATTTTTACTACCAATATTAATCCCTAAAATGGTGAAAAAAAATTAACTTGACTCGAAAAACCTGAACCAAAAAAATCATTTTGAAAAATGTAAATATCATGAATGAAGTGACAAAGTTCTTGTTGTAAGAATTTTTTTTTTTTAAAATTAAATAAATTTTTTTGCTTGATTCAAGATCAGATTAATTTTTTATTAACAAAGAAGAAAAGTTTTTTAACTAAATAAAATTTCCTTAAATCAACAAAATTTTTCTTTTTTACAAAAAATCATTAACTTTTTTGAAATAATTTTCTTTGCTAGTTCTTTTGAAAGATTTCTTAATTAACCATTAAAAAATAATTTTACACCTAATTTTTATTAATAAAAAATTAATCTGATTAATTAAGGAGATTCACTTGATAGAAAATAATCAAACTCTTTGAAAAAATATTTACAGTTTGAAAATTTATCTCTTTAATCAAGTTAATTTTTTCATCAGTGTACTTAATCAAAATTTAGATAACCAAATTTTTAAAGTATCTACTTTACAAAATATAAAAAGATAATCTAAGCCAGCGGCATGCTTATTGCTGTTACCCGTTTACTGTTCTCACTGTTAGTCTTAGGAAAGTGCCGTAATATTCAGTAGCTATTTTCGTCCGAGAAAAACAAGTAAAGAGTAAAGAGTAGAAGTATAAGTATAGTAGTGAAGAACAAGAAGATATATAATAGTGAAGAGAGTGTACTTATACTGCATAAAGAAGGTGCGGGTACTGTTCTGTTCTTCTTATCTACACTGTTAAAAATTTTTGTTTTAATTTTACAATAAAAAAATAGAAAGTATTATTCAGGTATGCATTTGTAAAATTACCATAGTAATATAGTATTTTTCCAATACATTTTACAAGGGAATAATATAGTAATTTTACAGTATTTTTTCTACAAGTTAAATTAGGAATTTTAGTATACTAATATTGTAATTTTACTATATCGTGATATTGGAATTTAACAATATTTTTTCTACAAGTTGAATTAGGAATCTTAGTATACTAATATTGGAATTTTACAATAACAATATGGTGATTCTACCAATTATTTTGTAGAAATTAGATTTTGAATTTTGGTATATTTTTACTGTTATTCTACAATAGAAATGTAGTAAATTTACTAAATATTTTCCACAAATTTAATTGGGAATTTCGGTACAGTACAATTGGAATATTACAATAGTGTGACATTGTAATTTTACAAAAATAATCTAGCAATTTTACCAAATATTTTTTATAAATCAAATTAGAAATTTTAGTATAGTAGCATTGGAATATCGTAAAAGACATTTTGATTTATTTTAAAATGATGTGACATGGATTTTTTGAAAAAGATTAGTCGTATTGTTTGCTTTATTATATATTTTATTGAAATTTTCATTTTTTTTTGTCATTTATTATAAAAATAATTTAAAATTATTAATCTGAATCCGTGTATATTCCAATGTTGTCAGTTAAAGATAACACTTTTGGATGTATGGCAGTCGCTTTTTTGGTTTTGCTGGCGCGCTTCGTCCCTTCTTGGGGGCAGATTTCAAGGAACAATCTGAAAAATTTATAAAATATTAATTAGCCTTTAAAATAGTGGAAATTAAGTCATTTAACCTGGTAGAATTTACATTAAATTTACCTTTGAATTGTTTCCAATGTTCCTTCGATACTTTTAGGATATTCTAAAGCAAATACATAATACATTAGAAAAGTAACTAAAATTCCATTTTGAAATGACTCCACGGAAACGGATTTTTGTTTTTCGATTATAACATCGTATTTATTGGCTGAATCGTGTAAATTATTTCCTAAAAAAAAAGTAACAAATGATAAAATAGCTTTAGTTAATTGGATTTACAATACTAAGTCTGAATTTTACAAGATTCGACAAAGATAACATTATTTGTTTTACAAGATATAATTACACCGGGAAAAACCCAGACAAAACCCGAATAATCCTGTTATAAAGAAGCTATTGTTAAATATTTATATTTTCATTTAAATACTCTAAGTACCTCATTGAATTGAGGGCCCATTTTTGTTTGTGAATCTTTTTCATGACCTGTTTCTAGACACTACGTCTGACCTTTTTGGGAATTACTTAGGTATACCAGACAGCGGCAATGGCAAAATATTATATGTAGAAAAAACATTGATATAAATAATTTAATTTTGTAAAAAAATAACGAAATGAATGTTTCTATTATTTTTTCTTTCAAATATTTATAGTTGACAATAATGTTCAAAAATAATTTATCAACTATGAGAAAAAAAAAATAAAATTGTTCCAATGATAACTATATATACGACTTATGAACATTTTCTATTTTAGTTACTTATGTAATTAAAGAATAGAAATTTTTTGAGTAATTATTTTTTGGAAAATTTTTATATGACTAGAAATGACAGTCTTCGGAAACTTCACAATTTTCAACTTATAAAATACTACGACAATTATTATTATATATTCATTCTGAAATATAACCATTATTTTCTGTGTTTTTGAATTAGAATACTTTTTAATAATTTAAAAAACAAAATTGTCATTTGTTGATATATTTAGATTTATTATAAATTTTCTCAATTTTAAAAGTTAAAAAAATAGAAACATTTGCTATTAAGTTAGTTAATTATAAACTTAAGAATTTAAATATCAATTTTATAATACTTTTTATAAATTTATTCGAATAACCCATATCAAATTTTTCACATGATATTTCTTCTTGCATTTTTTAAACAGTATTGAATAAAAAAAATTATGAGCGACCTTTCAAAATTCGAATTTTGAACTGAAATTTTCAGAAACTTATTTTTTTTAGTCTATTAGATTATACCGTAACGAGAAAAGAAATTAAAAAAAAAAAATTTTTGATTTTTGACGATTTTTGAAATTTTGAAAAATTTGGAGTGACCTCTTAAAAATTTTTTTTGAGCTGTCCTTTGGTGAGGGCTCTTAATACATCAAAAACTAACATTTTTTCATTTGAGACTCGAAAAAAAAAAATAGTCGGTTTTTTTTGCGCCACCCTAATGTATATACATATATGTAATGAACTATTGTGTTTTGAATATAATAAAAGTATACGTAAAATATACTTAAAATTTATAAGGAATAATTGGCAGCTCGAGATTATTAGTAATACAAAAAACTATATACAGTTAGCAGTTCAAAATTGTACAACGTGAGCCTTGAAACAATCGGAAAGTTTTCTAGAGTAAAAAAAATTTAATATTTCAAGAAAACTCGACACTGAGTCGTTAGCTGAGTTTAGGATCTTGAAATATAAAATGAGAAACATATTCAAAATATTTATAATATTTCGATGGGGACTATACTTACGACTTATGACATTCAATATGCACTAATAACGTGATTAAATAATATATATATATATATATACGAGCATATGATTTGTTCTTTCACAGATACCTTTCAGCAAATTAAATTTCAAGTTTCGTTTATGAATTTACTATTGAATTAGCCATAGATTATTACGGGTTATTGTAAATTTAATCTACGTATTGTAGGATTACTAGATACCAGTAAAATTACAATGCCTGTATGTACATATGCTACTAAAAATATTAATTTTATAGCAGTTATATAAGAAATTTACTATATGTCGTGGTAATTAAATTTACAAGAGAAAAATTGTAAATTTACAGAAACATCTCTGAAAGTAATTTACGAATTGTATAGTAAAATTACAAATCTTCTTCTAGTAAATTTAGAATATAAGATAGTAAATTTACAACTTGTATCTGATGAATACAATTGTATAGTAAAGTTACTATTTTTTTTTTGTACACTTACAATAAATATGTGAATATTACAATTGTATTTAGTAAATTTCTTACTTAGATATAGTAATTCTTGTTTACTATACCAAAATTTGTAATTATACTAAACTTTTGTATAGTAAATATTTGGTATAATTACAACTATTTTTAACAGTGTAGTATCCAACAAATAAAAGTAACCTCTGGAACTGGTATCGGATCTCGAGCATGGATATATGGAATTATAAATATGGAATAGTAAAGTAAATCCAAACCCGGCTGTTTTATTTCTTATGACCGTTCCTCACTAAGATTCTTTGTTGTAGATTTAAATTTTTAAACTTATTTCTCCCATCCGCTTACTGTCTATGAACCGATCTTTTGTGCTCGGGGCCCTAAGCATTGTTCCGATCGGAGCCCTTTACTGTTTACATTGCACTCGGTTGCTCCCAGTGCATTGAAACAGCTGCAAGGAGTTCTTTTTAAACCTTGTGATTGCTTCTTTTTAAGTATTTCCTTCTAAGCATTCATTTTCACTTCAAATTTTGGACTGAGATTTTTTTGTTCTGTCCAATAGAATTTATTTTTAATGATTTTAAGTTTATTTTATTTAAAAAAAATATTTATAACAAGAAAATCTAAAAATTAAATTTACATTCTCTTGTAATTTGTTTAGAGTTTACCTCGAGAAAATTTATCGACACATTGATCCCTAGTCAAGGACAGCGCCAAGTTCTCCTTGGAGCGGTGATAGTATTTTTTTTTTATCAGTTAATTAAGTTAATAATTGTAATTGTAACTTTAATATAAGATTGAGGAGTTTATTTTGCTGGATAAAAAATAATTATAAGTGCATTTTTCTAGGTTTTTAGGTCGAATATCGGTATACAATAAATTGCGTTATCGGTAGATAATATTGCTATTTAATCTTCGTACGTATTTATTTTTTTTATTTATTGAAGAAATTCGGCCCTAGAACTGACGTTCCTTAAAGGCCGTAGAAATTTAATAGTATTACATAGTGAGGAAGTACTTTGAATACAAAATTATAAAGTAATTTGAATACAAAATTGAAAAGTAGTTTGAATACAAAATTTTGAATAACATTTTAATCACATAAGTAAATAAACAATTATTATTATTATTATTGACTCTCCAGTTCAAATGTCTTTATCAAAAATTAATTTGTAACACAACGTCTGAAACTCACGTACAGATAATATTTAGTTGAAATAAATTGCAAAAGTATTTTAAAAGTGAGCTTTTCGTTAAAGTATTTGATATTTTTTAAAGCAAAAAATATTGGTAAAATTTTTAATCTTAATTTGAAAAAAAAAATTATTAAAATATCTAATAGAAAAATTAAATTGAGTAAAAATAAATTTTGACGTTACAATTATGAATTACCAATTTTAGAAAATTCAAAAAATATACAAAGCAATTTAATGATAGAATTTTAAAAATGTGTGATTAAATTATAAATAATATAACTATTTATTTTGGCAATATTAAAAATAAGAACAACAAAACTATCTTTGAAAAATTTATTTGTCTTAAATCAAGAAAATTTTACTTGAAAAAGAATTTTTTTACTTAATTAAAAACAAAAATTCTCCAAAATTATTTTCTCGGTTCAAGATTTCTTTTTTCTAATAAAGTTAATTAATTAACATTTTTTAAATAAGGACTACTAATTGTAAAAAGTTAAAAAAAAAGCAATTAAATGATAAAATTATAAAAATATACTATAAAATTACAAGTACCATAAATAAAATCATTTATTATTTTTATAACTCCTTCGCACTTTTTTATTGATAAAGTTTCTACGCACTCATCAAAAATAGACCAAAAATAACCTACAAATAAACTAAAAAATTAAATTGCCGGTAATAATTTACGTTTATATCTTAAAAAAACACTAAAATTACAGCTATAAAAAATGATATAAATTTTTAACAATGAAATATAATAGAAAAGATTTTTATTATCGACATCAAATGTTTTGTATTAATAGCACAAAAGTACTTAAAATTATGACAAACTATGATATTGCTTAATTTAAAAAAACGATAAAAATTTTCGATCATTAATAACAGCTTAAGCAATTTTTAAATAAAAGTCAATCTTTATAAACTTGTTTGATAATAGATATTTTAAAATTTGTAATGTTATTAGTGGAAATAAATTTTATTTGTGGAAATTTTATCTCTGATTTACTTGGGCTTCTTTTAGTCTAGTGTAGTCAAGTCTGGGTTGGGTGAATTTGAGATAGTAACTCGATCGGATGCACTTTATTGACTCGAGTTACTTCTACTGTTGTAGACTGTAAATTGTAAATTCTTTTCAATCATAATGGGCTTTAATTTTGGAGTTTTAGTGTAAGTCATTAAAGTTTAAAATTTAACTCTCGTACAAATAAAATTTAAGGATCACTATGATTATGATGATGATGATGATGATGATGATGACGATGATGATGATGATGATAATGACGAAAATGATGATGATTATCGTCACATGATATTTAGTCTTTTAAAGTGCAATCTTGTGCTTATTGAGTCGAGAGAAATCATTAGTGGCACGAAGCTGTAGTAACGGTGGTTGAGTAATAAGTAACAAGCGGTACGCCTTCCTAAGTACGCAGTAAATAGCTGTGGGTGCTACTGTTGATCACGCCCAAACTCAAGTTACCCGTATTATCAAATTGAGAACGAGAGACGGATAAAAATAATTTATTTATCTTGTGTATTTGCTAGTTTTTAATGGAATACTATTTGCACGCCTTTAAACGACTACACAGAAAAAAAAAAAACTTCTTGCACCAAGAAAATTTTAAGGAAGACAAAAATTTTGACTCCATTCAAGAATTTTGTTTTCAATGGACCTTTTACAGGCAAAAAAAATGAACTTTATCTAAATTTAAAAAATCTTTTATGAATGATGATTTTTTTGAAGAATTTGATTATTTTTAACTGAAAATTTTTTTTGGCTTAACTTTTACTTGACTCAAAATTTTCTCTGCTTGATTTGAAATAGAGAAAATTTTCAAAGTCTTAATTACAATTTTTTTGAAGATATAATTATAAATAATTGTTTCGTTCGTTTATTTGTAAATTATTTGTCAGCCTATTTTTAATGAACGTTTAAAAAATTTATCAATAAAAAAGTGCGCAGTAATTCTAAAAATAATAATTTAATTTATTTATGTTACTTGTAATTTCATCATATATTTTTAAAGTTATATCATTAAATTGCTTTTTTTTTAATTGAAAGTTCGCAATTATGTACTGTTAAAAAATTAACTTGATTCAAGATGAAAATCCAAAAAAGGCATTTTTGAATGATAATTTTCTGGATTCAAGAATTTCTTATCTCGAATTAAAACAATTAAATAATTGTTTAACAATGGATCTTTCAGATTGAAAAATCTATTAAAAATTATCAGTAAGTATATTTAATTTGTCTCTGAAGCTAAAAAAAATTTCCAGACATTGTATTAAATATTTAAAAAAACAAACTGACCGTAAAACATAAATTATATAATTTGCACCAATTAAAAAAAAATATTAAATACAAAAAAAATTTCACGGATTAGTGAAAAAATATGAAATGTATAATGTGTAGATAATAAATCCTGATGTATTTTATATAAATACGTTAGTGTGTTGTTTTTTTTTTTTTTACCGTAAATCCGTGTCACGTGTTTCTGACCGCAACTCATTCGTTTAATGAACATGCAAATAGCCCTTTGCTCAGTTTCATCCTCTCTCTTTTACACTCTCTTCTTTTATTCTTATTCTTATTTCTTCAAATATTACTTCTTGCTCTTTCTCCATCTCACTCGATGACCACGTGCAGCCTCTTTATAAAACATTGCAACAGAAAATCGCTTTTGCCCCCGATAAATAAATTCAGCTGCGCATAGATTAATTTATCAAAGATATACTTT